CCAGCTTCAGAACTCTTTTCAGCTCCACCACATGCCCCTTGCCCACTGGCTCCCCATTGCCACCTCCTGCCTCCTCGGCAATGCAGCCAAATGGTGGATGGCTGAAGCTAGCAACCGCCGAGCCTCCGGAGGACCACGCTACACCTTCCTCCAATGGGCCACCCTCCTCACTGCCACCTTCCGCCCCCAGAAAACCATTGACGACTACCTTGAACAATTTTGCCACCTCCGCCAGACCAGTCCCACGGACCGCTTCGTCCAGTACGTCCGCGCCCTCCGACACCACCTCCCCCACACCGTCATTCCCGACTGCGTGTTCATCTCCCGCATCAAACGAGTATGCCACAAAGACCTTGCCACCGCCCTCGCCCACGAACCCAACATGCCCCTTGCTGACCTCCTCTCTCGCATGCTTCACCATGATCGACTCCTCCACCCCCATCACCAGTCCGCGCCCGCTCCCTCCCGCCCCCTCTTTTTCCATAACAACACCACTCAACCCACCTCCGATGACGACTTCGACACTGCCTCTCTCGACCCCTCCCAATTCACCATCGAGGACCTCCAGACCGCTCACCTTATACGGATGGAACGCCAGGATCGTGCCTCTCGACTGCCTTCTTCCTCTCCACCCCGCCGCCTCCAGAAACTCACAACTGCAGAATGCATATACCTCCAGGAACACAACGGATGTTTTCGTTGCCGCTAGTTAGGTCATCAACAGACCAACTGCCCCAACGCTAGCCACTTTACTCGACAGGCCCCTCGCTCCACGGGACCCGGCCCTTCTACTCCCACTCCTCCCTCCACCTGAACACTGTCCACCCAGTCTTCCATGTCGAGTACCTAAAAGAATACCATGAATCCCCGCTCCAATTCGCCGACCGCCCATATCCTAAACCTCCACCAATCATGCTACCCACAGGCCCTGAATTCGTTGTCGAAACCATCATCGACCGACGAACCACTCAGGTTTCTGATCATCCGGAACCAATCACTGAATACAAAGTCAAATGGACCGGATACCCCGACGAAGAATCTACATGGGAACCTCTCTCTMATCTTAAGAACGCCATGAAACTTGTCCGCGCCTATGATCGTGCTAATCCTATGTCCTAGATACCTATATCACTCTGGCATAAACCCCCGCTAAAACCCTTGCAACCCTGCTCTACACACACCCTTGAACCCAGTCCACCCTTCCCTTGATCCTCATTCCTGATGTCTGATCTGCCCTTGCCCTCGCCTAGCCTTGTCCCATCTGTCCTCTCCACTACCTTGTCTCTCTTGTCCAATACTTGTCAACTTGCGTGACGCCGGCGATAAAGGATCTAATGGCAAGCGCACGAGGACGATGGTCTGCTGCCTCACTGTTCATGGAGATTATGCAGCTGGTTTGGCCACCATGCTGTTTCATTGGCCGGCATCCCCGACTCGCGGACTTACTGGAGCAGCAACTTGTGACATGGATCCTTGCATCAGTCTGCGACTTCCTTGCTTCCAGATCAGACCTCATTGCAGTTCGTGTACCGGACGCACCCTAGCACTTGGACTTTGACACTACGACTACGCTTCTTGGACTTCTACCTATCGCACCCTGAACAAACATTTTCATTTTTATTTTTCCTGACTTTGACAACCCTGTAGAACATCATTAGCAGATCCGTGTTTCCCTAACCATTCTTCCCGTACCCACGAGAACATCAATAGACATCCCCTGTTCCCCTGACCATTGTTTCCCTTACCCACTACAACATCAATAGAAATACCCTGTTTTCCTGAACACCATTTCCCTTACCTAGTAGAACATCAATAGAAGTTCCCTGTTCACTGAACTCTGTTCCCCCTTAACCTATAGCGAACCATGCAGTCCCCTTAGTTCATCAGTAGGACAAACCTGTTCACCGATACCAAACCCTGTTCCCTCTTACTCCCGCAGCCCATGCCACCCACATTATACCCCTCTTCCTTTTCGACTTGTTAACCAATGATCGGCCCCGTCCCGTCCTTCACAGATTTCAGCATTGCTTCATGATTTTTGGCAGCCGGGACGTTGCCTTCTTGAGGGAGGGGATAGTGTTACGGACTTCGCCAGGGCTCGATCCCTGGTCTATCTTTTGCTGTTTCGGCTGCATCCCGTTTTCGGCCTGGCACCCTTTTTCCAAACCCCTCCTTTGGTACCGTAGGATTTTGGACAACTGGCGCCATGCTGCAATTCGGGCGCCACTTTCAAATACTGCATTTTTCAGTTCTGCCCTCGGGGCCTTTGCAGAAATGCCCCTGGTACYGTACGTGTCACCGGTACTTATGCCKGCTCCCCGTACGGTACSGGGGGGGGTCTYRACCAGTTYTCTGCTRCTGTACTCGTWCTCAGTGTGACTTGCCGTTTCRGCATTCGGAATCCAAGACTTCGACTTTGTGCCTTGCCACTGTGTCTGCGTCCGACCCTCAGTCCGAGTCCGTCGTGTYGAGTGAGTGAGTGTGTGTGTGTGCTCTCACTCTCTCCCTCTCTCTCCCTCTCTCTCATCTCCCTCGGCTCACCCTCAGCCTCACGCTCGTTACAGCCCCGCTCCACCGCCCGCTGCCACACAGCGCCGTCGCTCTGTCCGCCTCCCTGCCCACTTTGGCCTTCGGGCATACCGCAGACCTCCTTACACAGGGCGCTGAGGCAGCGCTTCCGCGTGGCTTCCACATAAGTGAATGAATAGTTGGGCTCTGCCTCTCAACTTATACTCCCGGTGCTCGCTGGTCTGCCCGGTACGACTCAGCTCACGTTCTTTCGGGTCCTGAAGAGCCTGCCTGCATACCAGCTACCCCCAGCCCTCACACGGGTACAGTTCATACACACCCTCTCGCGCAGGCCCCCTCTCAGCCACGGCGTGTGATGGAYCGTGGGCCCCGCAGCAACCCATACCAATCTCGGGCTGTAGCCCCACAGGCTTGCTCGAAGCACTCTCCGCCCCCCCCTCCTTCCGCTCTAGGCTATCGACGCTCTCCAAATGGGAGGCGAGGGAAGCCATGACCACAAACCCCACCACTCTCATACTTGTTGACTTTTTCGGTCCGTTTTTCCAGACGGGCGTGGTAGCGGAAATTCTGCCGACACCCCGACACGCCGGAGCCCGGTCCTTGGTTGCCGCGACGGCCTCCAAAGCCCAACGTCATCCCTGAGTTAAAGCGCACCGGAGCAAAATAATAATATTACAACAATAAAAAGATAAAAGTATTTAGAAACTTTTAATCGCCAGGCTACGGCGGAAACGGGGGACGCTAGTACCGTTCTGACGAAGTCAATGGTATAACCAAGAGGGATAGCCCCGCCGGGCTCTTCGCACCGCTCTAATACTCCCGCGCCGTCGCCAGTCAGCCTCGATCCTTGAAGCTCCATACTGAAATTCCGACACCGTAACCTATAGGGCTAACCCTAAGCCAAGGTCTGGCTCCGACGGACGCCTAAAAAAACCGGACACTGCGTAGCGCACGGGCCGACTGAAAACACCTCAACGGCCACCCTGTCGTCGATGTCGACCTCCACACGTACGCACAGGTCACGATAAAAAATACCAAATCGGAAGATAGAACCCATTCAAACCAAATTAGTAATAGAAAGAGAAAAAAATCTAGCAGGCGATCACGCCGACTTTCACAATCATAAAAAAAAAATAAAAAAAGGATCACGTACGTCTCTCACCCTGTCAAGAACCTATGCTCCCATTCACGCGCACGCCGTCAGGCGGGCGACACTGCACTTGCGTGACTTGCAAAAACCACGCCAAATACCCTTGTAAGGGTATTTGGTACGACTGTCTTCCCGGACCTTATTAAACGACGTCCCCGTCGCACCAAGAATTGCTAACCAACTATAATCTTTCGAAAAAATAAATGATGACTTCCTCGAGTTTTCAACTTCAACTGAGACGGTCATCTAGTTGTGTCAACACGAGATCTCGTTCCTTAAGACAATTCGTGGAGAAATCAAAGGTCGAAAATACCATTCAATTCCTGATCAAAATTATAAATCTATAATAGTCGAGTAATCGGCTAAGCAAAAACACTCCTTCACTTCTATTTTAACAAAGTTGGTAAGCCCACTTTCCACCCGCTATAATCACGGACGGGGGTCATCCAAAGCCAAACTTAGGACTACAACACTCTCGGCCTCTTTGAGCGATGGTTTACCGCGCCCGACACACTGATCACCCCACCACTGGCTAAGACTCAGACTCAGTGGTGGGTCAATTTTCAGGACCTCAGTCTGCAGACAGACTTTTCACTTTTCACCCATCAATTACTCAACTCGACCGGTCCATATACTCTTTTTACAAGCTCTCTCTCAAAAGAGCACCTCATTGTGGGACTTAATCAGACACCTCAATCTTTCAGCCAATCTAGAAGATAAGGGCGTTTGACCCCATCATACGTACCACAAATGTACCTTATGGGCAGGGCCCCGTTAAGCCCAGTCCCACAAGGCACTATTACAATTCAAAAAGCCACTCATTTTACGAGCTCATCAAAGGTATGGGTTGTGGTATTCACTTAGTCCCTCAAAATAAAACAAAATCACCCCTCTTTTCCATAAATCCTATTTTTATGAGTAGGGTCCTTCACTTTTATCACACACTTCGCTAATCTCATCCATACGTTTTGCTCGGTGAGCGAACTCTCATCGTCCTTTTCCAAATAGAACTCAACGCCACTTTCAATCAATACTATACCCGATTGGAGGGCCCTATAATCAGGCCGATCCTTCTTGCCGTAGATGACGCTCCCACCGGCTATAAGTCAAAACTTTAGTTCCTCTCAAGGAGTCTTAATCATGGAAGTCCCCGTCACAGACCAGACCGCTTGTGGCCCATAACAAGCTGAGTAAAGGACTCACAACCAGCCCTACCAACTTTTACGTGACTACGCAAGCGGGGATGCCGAATTGAACGGATCTTTCCTTACCCCCTGCCACACACAGAACCACCCGGGACTCACAATCACTGGCCGGGTAAGGGCTTTCTTACATGACAGGTTTCCCTGCCGCAAGTGACACGCTTACTGGCAGCTGAGGCCCAACAGAGTGGAGTTGCTAATTTGGCCGGAGATAATACTCTAACTCCATAAAAATTCATTTAAGCCACCCCCTTCCTCTCAAGGGTGAACCTTCCATAATAATTTTTAAGACTCCTCCCACTATGAAGGAGAATCACCCATAAAAATATCTCAGTCATCCTCCCACTTATGGATGAATTTGTTTATATAGCCTTAAAACATTCTCCACTTGAAAATACCCCTCAAACTTTATCAGGCCACCCTCGGGCATAACCTCTCCCTTAATGTGATTTTCTGGACTCTTTGAGCCTTCCAGAAATTTTTCACAATTAATCACACTTTCTTCACTTCACCATTAATTAAAGTAATATACAAAAACTCACAAAGCCACTTTGATGAGAATGCCAATAACAACCGAAACACGAGCGATCCTGCAACCCAGGGGGATGAAAACTCATACCTAAACATAATCCCCAGAAGAAAATCAAATCACCCCAAGTCTCACATCCTTACAAATCTCAAATCTTCACAATCTCATATCCCAATCAACAGAAGACCTTGTATAGAGTATCACACAGGTCATATACCCAAAATAATATCAAATGTTCCCGCACAATTGGGTATGCGCTTAGCGTATATACGACAACTTCTTAAAAGATCTCCACTCGCATTTGACAACGCCAACTTAAAGAGTAGATACTCAGATGCAAAATATACGCACAACCCCAAATGTAAAAACGCACCCTCGATATCAAAAATATGTACAAGAAAGGACCTATGTCTCATAAAACTCATAGGTTTGGAAACAAAGGCAACATAAGCAGATACTCGCTCATTAGTTCTATCAATTGAGCCTACCGCGCTGTCATGACCTTTCGAGTGCCCATCGATTAGTTACATAAGATCGCTGACACCATTCTCATTTAGGCAAACAACCTCACCCCTCAATTCCTTTCTTCGCCATCTAACATCTGCGAGGGGTATGACCAACCTTCCCACAGCAAGCAGACACTATCCTCGCCCACCGTTCTCGCCCTCTTCTATTCCTTCGTCCAGTTCGACCTATAACTGGCGATGGTCCCTTGTCATCACACTCCTTATTAAGATCAAATGCAGCGTGCAGCGGGGTTATACCAGCTCCTCCCCAAACTCTTTGCTCCTCTATTCCCTTTTCGCTTGGAGCGTCAAGCGTCCTCTCACAGGTATGGGTCGCGACAATTCTCACTTTAGCCTGTATCGCTTTCCTCTCATCCCCTGACTCACTTTTCTTCTCTCTGCTCCACCTGTGATTTCGCCTGGTGATCTTAGCGTCCTTCTTAGATTCATCTTTCTTAGCATCAGAGGTACCTCCTGCAGGATCATTCTCACTCTTTTCACTACCCAACGCCTTCTTTCTTTTCCTCGTTTTCCGCAGGGTATGACAGAGGTACTGGTCGAAATCCTCCTGTTCAAGGTTCTCTCGGATCTTATCCCAGACTAGTCTCCCCTCTGTTCCACGAATCAAATCTCGCTGTTCTGCATTTGTGAAATTCATAAGGAAGACAAAACATTTGTCATGTTCTGATAGTGCCCAGACCTTACGTGATGCACGCTCATACTCTGCCAAGAAGTGCCCTACTGATACATAACTATACCGGTCTATCTTCTCAACATCGTCTTTGGTCAGTTGTTCCTCGCCTAGCCGGTATTTATTCCACATGTCATCATAAAATCTATTCCATGACGTCCCTGCCCTTCTAATCAACCCACTGACTTCCCCCTGCAGGCTTACATGGATATACTTTACAACCTCCTTCAGCAACTGCTCCTTATTCCACTTGCAATGAGCTGCTATCTGCCCAAACTTTTCGAGGAAGTCAGAGACATGATAACCCTTAAAGAAGTCGATTTCAACCTTGGGCAGGCTATCTCGCTCCCAATCTCGCATACCCTGTAGAGAGGCAAGTTCCTCGACCCCAATCTTCCCTTGAGAGTCTGCCATCTCGAGCTCCCTCGACCCCACCACCTGTTGAACAACAATGAGCGACGTTAGGGCCGAGATGCCAGAGGAGCTATGTGATAAAATCAAATATAAGACACATTCCACTAACTTGTTTCGACACTTCATTATAAAACGCGCATAAGAACCTATTCTAAACAAAGACGATACCGAAGAGAGTCTTTAAATAAATATCCATCAAAAATAAAACACAAACATTTACTAATGAATCCCTTCAATCATAACTCAGGCACTAACCACTTATGATTGTCATTATCAAGGCAAGGCGCGATGTACATATGTCGCATAGCTAGATACTCCAAACACAAATACAAAATGCAGCACAACCCATGATAAATATCATATACTGATAACAATAATTTTTACATAACAACATAATTTCTCTGTAAGGGTTGTAACTGACGGGCACAATATGCTTTATAAACAACCATATGAGTGCAACTCAACTGCCAGTTATATACCACGATAACTCTCGATAACGTATTTCTGTATTCTATAAGGCAAGGGCAGGACTGACAATGAGTAAATAACATGATACAATTTTTACCCCTTCAACTCATAAGCGAAACATATATTACAGAGGGGCGGTGTAATCCTCATAAGATAACATCTCGACTCTTGAGCCCCGCTCTAAAGATCAAGCCTCACCGCATCCCTCTCTGACTCCAGCGCTTGTACCTCGCTGCCCCTATCATGGTCAAGTGGACAACCCCATTCATACTTATCAAGGCAACGAGGAGCGAACTCGCACCATTACAAGTATGGTGGCCCTGCTTAGCGAGAGACGAGTCTAGGTCGCTACCCCAGATCTGTTCTCACTAAGTAGTAGCTGTTTCACCTGGCCATCACAGCCTCAGCAAGGTAGCAAGTCCTTTCCTCTTTTCTCAACAGATAATGCAGTTACTCTCCCATCACTGGAGAGACAACAACACCCCACTAATGGACCAGGAACATAGTTCCGGCGTGGGTCTCACTATCATTCCTGATACTAATAACTGCTGCCTTAAGCTTCAACAAGGGAGTAACAATTCAAGAATGCATTTCCACTGAGGACAAATTATACACGCCGACTAACCCCTTTTGGGAAGAACCACCTTCCACAGAAGCCAGTCACCCCATTCACTCCTGGTCCCAAGCCAGACGTGGTTTTCATGCAGAATCTATGTCCTCGTGGAAGGCAATCCATACATACGTCATCAATCAGACATCAAACAAAACACAGTGAAAGCATATATATAGAGACTATCGAACAAACAATCATAAATGACATATATACATATATTACATATAATTGACACATAGGCCTCTCTTCGGACTAGCCAAACCGTTATCCTAGTGGCCACTACTTCTCAAGATTTATCAATAGTTAGCCAGACAGTCCGCAAACGACTCAAAACATCACCAGCTCACACTATCGAAGAGTCTAAGCATCGTTCTGACCGTGGTACCTATCATATCACATCTCAGCCTGGGCTCAAGAAAATATTTTTACAATTAAACTCCTCACCTTGCACTTTATGAGTCATCCCCTCACCCATGCTGCTCCCGTGTCAGCAACCTTTTCTAACGGAGGGGTCATATGACTAGGGCAAACGCTCCATCTTAACTTGACTATCCCCCAAGGCAGACTTAATACAACGATCACGTAATGAGTCAATTAGCCGTGGATTCCAATCATAGGTATATTCAATACCGCCGGTGCCGCCTTACTCATTCCTGGCTAAATCGAACCCGCAAAGCATTACCCAAACTCATCAATCATTAAAATCAAAGAACCTTTCAACTCCGTTCAATCACATACTAGGCAGTGCTCACAGCGCATGGTCACGGCGCTTATCAATCCCAAGCAACCCTTACTGCATCATTCAAACCCCACTCACGGAATCAACCCTCGCTTCATGCTTTATCCAATACGATCAACCATTCCTCCTAACCCAGTCAATAGAGCAGAAGCGGTCACTCTCAGCGGATTATCAACCCACCTCGAATCAAGGCTCGATTTCTAGGGACCTCTCTGTCTTCACGGTACTTCCAACGATAGTCAGGATATTAGCCAATCGCTCACACAAGTCTATAAAAACTTCTCATTTGCCTATTTCTCACTTCCATACCCGGATGTCGTTCCACCAGGGACAACGGTAGGCAGCCGTTATCCCCGGCAACGGCGCCACCTGTCGAGCGCATCGGTCCGACACCGCACGAAGCAGCGCGGGACCCTCCCGGCCGCATCACGCAGGAGTTGGTTTATGTCCTTTGTCGCAAATATACATGTGGAGCTTCCGCAAGCCGCTCCGGCCGAGTGCGCCAGCCATACCTCTCGCGAGCCCCTACGACAGGATAGGGCCTACGC